CTCCCCTGCTCTGGTTTTCTCCGAAACCAGTGTGCAGCCCTGGGAGGTGATGTGGAGCCTCTGCCGGACCATAAGGGAGAGGACCGTGCCCTGTTCCCAGGGTGCTGCCGTGTCAGGGCACAGGCTGGTCACGGATTCACCCACCTGATGTAAAAGATCAGGAATTTCTCTTGCTCCAGGCTGCCTTTCACAACGGTGTCCGTGTATCCCTTCCCGCAGCCTGTGTGAGAAAACATCACAATCTACTCGGGGAGCCCTGGTACCGCAGTTGCCACCTGTCCTACCTCAGTGCCACCACAGGTAGGGGCAGAGGGGATGGTGACTGGTTGTGGCAGGGATCCAGGCTGGGACAGGGTGGGGGAGCAGGCAGTTCTTCTTCTTTTGTGACCTCTAAGCTACTGGAGATCAGCAAAGAACAAGAGCTCTGGGTAACCTTCAGGCCCAGAGCTTGGAAATGGTGTTCATAAATTCGCCGTGGCAGCCAGTCCAAAACTTGAGCTGCTGCAGGTAAACGCTGCGACTGCTGTGTGTTTCCAGGCTCCAGACCCAGCTGGTGGATGAGCAGATGGGCTAGGAAGCGGTTTGACTGTTCCCGTCTCTCTGTCCCCCTCCTACCTGCGTAGCGAATGCTTTTCCCAAACATCGTGGTCCAGAAGAAGGGAACAGTGTGCAACTCCTCGCCTTTCTTCAGCATGTTTAAGGCAGCAATGTGACCTGGGATGAACCAGCAGAGGGAATATTTTTCTTGTAGGTCCTCAAAGAAGTGCCCCCTGACTGTTGTTACCCTGCTGTCCCTTCTGCGCTGTCTCACCGTGGGCCTCAGCCACCTGTTGGTGATGGATGCTGGACCGGTCCCCATTGAGCAGCGCTACGGGAAAGGAGGCCACATCCCCCGCAGCAAAGACATTTGGCATGTTGGTTTTCATGCACTAATGGGACAAAAACCAATCAGTGGAGCGATGAGAGGGAAGGGATTAGGAATACTCAGCTGGCACTTACCAAATCCACCAGGATGGCACCGCTGTTGTCTCTGGCGATGGAGGTGTCCTTCAGAAATGCTGAGTTGGGGACTGCCCCTGCAGGGAAAGGAGCAAGGACGAATGCAGCAAAGCTCTGCCAAGGCAGGCAGGAAGCTCGGCCTTAGTGCTACAGCAAGCACGTGCCAGTTCAGCCTGCCTGGAGCAGAGCAGCTCTCAGCGGTGACCGGTGCTTGGGCTGGTGCTGAGCTAATCAGGGGCAGTAAAACCAGGGCCCAGAACAAGGCACACTGATAACACAGCAGTGACCTACGGAGCTCAGCAAGTCATATTGAGAGCGTAAGGAGCTCCTTTCCCTCTGCCAAGTGTTTGCTCGTGGGCTGCTGACTTTCTCCAGGTGTTAAGGGCCAAGAGGAAGGGCTGGCTGATAGCTGAGTGGGAAAGATACTGTAGGAAATGGTGTCCTGGGAATGAACTGTGATGCTTTGGGCTTGCTGGCTGTTGTCCCCCTTCCCAAAGCTGTTCCCGTTCCCAACTGCGGTCTCTTACCTATCCCCACCACTACCACATCTGCAGGTAGTCTCTCTCCACTGGCAAGAACAGCCTCTGTGACCTAGGAAGGAAGCAAGAATCATTAACAAAGGGTTAAAACCTCTGTCCTAATTCCTGCAGCCTCCCTGCTGCCTCATTCTTTGCTGTCTTTTTTCTTCCCCAGGTTCAGATCACCTTGTCCAACTAATGTTGCTACGAATGCAAGAGAAAAATCACACTGTTGTCGCTGAGATACAAGTACATACCGGTGACCTTTGAGCCTTGAGTTGTGCTCAGTGAAAAGAAATGTGAGGATCTAAACATGTGTGAGAGGGAAGCCTAGATGTAGGCAATGGGTTATACCTCAATTTGGGTTTTTTTCCCCCTAAATTTAGCCATTCAGGGATCACAGTGTCATGACTGACCTTCCCATCCTCTCCTTTCAGCTCGCAGAGTTCTGTTTTCATGTAAAACTTCACCCCTTCATTTTGCAGCATCTGAAAAGGAAGAGGAAGCTTGTTTGAGTATTCGCTAGGAAATTCCAGGCTATCCTGCTGTAAAAACAGCTGTACCCAGCCAAAACCCAGGCAGGCAGCTTAGCTGCTGCTCCGGGGCTGCAGAGAGGTGTCATTTGTATCCTTGGCCAGTGCAAGGCATCTGGAAGTTCTGCTGTCCCGGTCAGGACTGGTGCGTGAGGTGGGTCTAGGATGAAGCTGAGCTGGGCAGCGTGTGTGAGGGAGGTTCGGTGAGCTGAATGCCAGAAAGGTGGCTGGGTGCGCAGGGTTATGACTCAGCACAGGGGCTGGATTTCCTGGGCTGATGCAGGTCGCAGGGCTGCTTGGATAGCGTGTGTTCTCCGTCCTAGACATCAGCACCAGGTTTTCCTAACCTTCATGGCGACACCTCCGACCTGAGGACCCAGTGCGCTCTGGAAAGGGAACTCCTTCTTCTCCACCACAGAGATGGCACCCGCCTTGTCTGACAGGAAGGCAGCGATCTCCATTCCTGCAAGGGAAGGGCATGCCCAAGGTAAGCCTGCTGCAAGCATGAACCCGCACCTTCCTTCTTGGAAATCTTTTCCCCTTCCAGGTGGGGATAACAAATCCGATGTATTGCCAGCACTTAATTGCTCTTCTATGTATTTCTGGGCTGAGGTATTTAGCTCCCCCCCTTCTTTGTTCTCATACACTATGGACCTGGATATTCAGAAATGCAAAGAACAGCTCCTGGTTGTGTACAAATTAGCTCCCTTTCTGTGCCTTACTCCGTCACTTTCCCAGTGCTTCTGGGGAGTCCAACTCCTCTGAAGGACAGCGAAGGCACCTTTCCCTCTGTGCATGTCCAGGAACTGTTAATAGCTCTCAAAGTTTCTGGCTATCAGAGGAAAACAAGCTGGGTAACACGTATCCCCACTAGCTATAGGGCTCTCGGAGGAACACAGCCAAGTAGTGATTGAACATTCCTTCCCTGAGGGCCTCTAGTTAATCTGCACACACACCAGAAGGGGATTTCAGAGCTATCACTAATGACTTGATACGCACTCCAGCCTGGTACCTACGAATGACGCTCCTATGATCACCAGAGTCTTCCCAGTTGCCAGCTCTAAGATCTTGTTAGAGTCTTCTGGAGTTTGGAGAACGCACACATTTTGCAGGTCTGCACCTGGGACTTTGATGGGGCTGGAGCTGAAACAGAGAATCCAGGTACATCTCACGATCAGAAATGAAACAGAAGGAATGAGGGGGAGCACAGACCCGTGCAATCTCTTGGCTGTGGCATCCCATCCTGTCCTTTTATCTCATCTCCTACTGCCTCCCTCTGACACACTTCTAGAAGAACTCCACACCCCAGTGTTGACCCATCTCCCACCTAAGATTTCATGTGTGGCCAATGCTTTGTGCACTCACTGGCTGCCTGTTGCAATGAGCAACTGATTGTACTTCTGGAAGGACCCATCCATGAAGTGAACCTTCTGCTTCTGGAAATCCACTGTCACTGCCTGCAGGAGAAAGGAGACAAGGATCAAACAGGTACCCATGGTGTCCTGCCACATCAATCCATTCTGCTTGCGTGTGTCTGCATGCTCTATTTCTGAACACCCGGGTGAGATGAGGAATGTCAGGGTCCTCTCTCTCACTTTCTACAGGTCTTAGGCTTTGAGAGCATTAGGTATGGCAATGCCAAATCTAGGTTCCTCCGCGGGGCGTGCAGAAGGCTGGTTTCGACAGTCACCCTCTTTTGCGTGTGGTGGGCACATTTGCCCGTGGCTGGCACGGGTCAGTGTTACACCCAAGGCGTGCACAACGTCCCTAGCACTGGCCTTGGGATGCTATCCCAGAAGATAATGCATGTGCTTAGGCAGAGCCCTAATTTCTATAAATGTAGCACTACACCCACAGGTCATGGCAGGAACAGGACCACCCACTGAGGACTGGGCTGAGCTCCTCTTGTACCTCTTTCTCTGTCCAGAGCTCTATGTCTTGAGCAGCAAGGAATTCGGGTTTCCTCAGGTAGATGTCCTCTGGTTTCAAGTCCATTTCCTGGAAACAAAACAGAAATATATCATAAAGCACTTCTTACAGACAGCAATACACTTGCAGCGTTTACTGGGAAATAAGTTTGCCTAAGAGTAAGTTTTGCATTAGTAAATCACAGCTCCACATACTGCCTCATCCTCATCATCATCTTGTACTTCCTCAGAAAGACACATCAACTCACACTCTGGTGGGAAGAACTCCACGAAAGGAGATAAAATTTACGGTGGACTCTGATCAAAGAGTTTCTGTGAGGAAGAAGTCAGATGTTAGTAGGAAATCACACCCTTTTTCTTTGTGGGTGCCCTCAGCACTCCTGCTTTGCCAGAACTCAATTTGCTCTCTCAATTGCTCAGTCTGGTCCTGCTGGTGGCCCTAATTCACACGTGGTACCCAGGCATGCTCCTGCCCTTCTCACATACGAACCTTGCTCAGTTTGGACTTGTCAAATGGAACATGATTCTCTTTGGTGGCCATGATGATCCTGCCAGTAAAACCCTCTTGGCGAAGTGTCTCAGCACACACCAGGGCAGCCACACCTACAAGAGACGCTCCTCTCAGCCCTCTCACACATCATGATGGAGTAGGAGGAATAAGGCAAGTCCTCCCTTCCCCTGGGGAAGAGAGCGGCAGCTCACAGCATACGTGGAGCGGGCACAGATCTCTTCACTGACCTCCCCCCAGAAGCAGCATCGTGTTCCGGTTAAGGCGGCATCGCTTGCTTGTGTGCTTCACCCTCACGCTGCTTTCAAGATCCTAGAAGAAAATAAGAAATGCTGAAATGGTAGCTAGCCCAAGGTGCTGCTTGTGCTTAGTGACAGCAGGTAAGGTAAGGTCAGTACCTTCTTTTTTGCAGTAACAAACACCTTTCCTTCTTCCACTGTTACCTAAAAGGGTGAAAGGAGAGTGTGTTTAGGGGCTGCATGTGTGAGGTTGTGGTAGGAGCTTTCCTGGGAGGTTCTGGTCCAGTGGGCCATCTGCTTCTGATACACCACGAGTGACTTGTAGGGATCTTGGATGTCAAATGATGATGAGGATGGGCTCTTCTCCTCACCCCAAGAAGAAACACGCTTGGGAAGAGGTGAAAAAGAGCTGGGCTGGGTGTGAGGGGTACCAGGATGTATAGTGTCACCTTTGACTGAAAGAAGGTTTAGGACAGGGAGTTACTTGATCCCAAGATGTCATCCCATGTCTTGTAGCTTTGTGTGACCTGGACAACGGAGCTGTGGCCAGGGCAGGGCTCTGTGGGTTGGTGTCAGAGACACGGAGCTTGTGAGTGACCGTACGCAAGTGTTACGGAGGACATGGCCCCAAGAGGTCACCTTAAAGCAGGGAAGACAGTCCAGGGAAGGGTATTCCTCAATGTCCCCGTTTTTGATGTTAAAGCAGGCGCCGTGCCAGGGGCAGCGCAGCCTCTGCCCTCTCAAGACTCCTGCAACAGAAAAGTCCCCACAACTGAGTGGTGAGAGCTGACCCCCCGACACGGCTTCTGCCTCTGCCCAGGGCCAAGGTTACCTTTGCTGAGCGGGGCACCGTAGTGGGGGCACTTGCTGCCCAGGGCGCTGAACTCCAGCTTGTTCCTCAGCAGCAGCACCGGGTAGCCGGCCACCATCACGTCACGGAGCCTGCGAGAGAGCTGGAGAAGTGGGTGCCCAGGGGAGCCTCAACCACCAGCATGGCGGC